GAAGAAACGTCTTGATAGGTGTATTGAATCAAATGAAGGGTACAATAAGATATTTTGGGAGAGATCACACTTGCATAACTTTTATTACAGTATATTATTATAATTGTTCTATTTTATTATTAATTTTTATTGTTTATCTCTTACTGTGCTAATCTAGAAATTTAAACTTTATCATAGGTATTTATGTATAAGAAAGTGTATATAAAGGGTTAGTTACCCTTTCAAGGTTTCAGGTGTCTAGGGGGGAACTTGGAATGCATTTAACCACAAATAAGGGGGAACTAATGTATAACACACACACATACCATATATCCTAAGGGTCTGTGAGTTCTTGGAGAATTAAAAAACCAGGGGATTTTCTTCAGACAATAATTTTTAATATGCTCGTATTTGCATTTGTTTAAAGCAATGACCTATTCAAGTGACAGAATTTAAGCTAAATGCAGAATTTCTCAACATTAGAGGAGATTTCTGTAGTTTGAAAGCTCTCCAGGTTATTCTGTTAGTATTCTTCCCCGCTTTGCACATCCTTTGGCAATTTTTCAAGTTTCTGGGTTTAAAAAAAAATGAGACCACGTTCTATTTTTACACTTCTCCTTATGCCATGGGCAGAAGTACTTACTCCCTACAATTGGGTGGAGGATGAGGAGCTTTATAAAAGGAGTCTCTGGTATGCTCAACACTGAGCAATGATTTTATCCACTAAGAATAGCTAGGGACAGTACTTCTTCTTCCCCAGCTGCTTCTGCAGGTTTTAGACATATGCTTGAAGGCATTTGCAGCTACAAAACATTCTTATGGTCAGGAGCATTCCAAACATCTCTTCCCTGCTAAATTAGCTTTTAAATCACCAAAAGCTCATGCGCAAGTAGCCAAATGATTGTATGTTTGTTTTTTTCACGTGGTACAACAGTATCAGGAGGAGTTGCTATGTTTAGATGTGGCATGGAACTGTAGCATAACCTGGTCAAACTCAGGAAAACTGTACTGCCTCCTTGGATTACAAATGATTTCAGCTTTATTTCAAAGGAAATCTAGTTCTTCACCCAAGAATTGTGGTTGAGTTATACACCTCAGATAATCCAGGTTGATCTCAGTTGGACTTTGGGATCATGTCAGCTTTCTGAAGTGTGTAAAGGACAATCTCTAAGCAGCCCAGATGAGTTTCCATATTAGGGCTGAATAAGGCTACATTATCTGTGATTGCAATTGCAAAAGATTTGATCACAGAAATAAATTTGTCACCAGCCACTAGAGGAGAGCCTGAATGACCCTCAAACGAAATGAAAGATTCTTTTTATTTTTTTAAAAGATTTTATTTACTTTATTTTTAGAGTGAGGGGAAGGGAGGGAGAAAGAGAGGGAGAGAAACATAAAATGGTTGCCTCTCACAGGCCCCCAACTGGGGACCTGGCCTGCAACCCAGGCATGTGCCCTGACCTGGAATCGAACCAGCAACCTTTCTGTTTGCAAGCAGGTGCTCAATCTACTGAGCTACACCAGCCAGGGTGGAAGGATTCTAAATTGATACAGTTGTGCTAGAGGAACACACATCCCTCTAGCACAAGCTTTGTAGAGTGTGTTGTTTCCTCTTTGATAGCTTTCATACACATTTATGGCACTAGAGCTGCCTTCAACTTTCAGGAAATCCATTCTCAGTGTGGCAATCAACATAGAATGATGTAAAGGAAACCATACCCAAATTTACTAGCTTTCTAGGAAAGAGGCAATGCAAAAAATGTTGTTCTTTAATTTTAAAATTTATTTTTAATTATAGTTGCCATATAATTTCTTATTAGTTTCAGGTGTACAATATAGTGAGTCAACATTTATATACCTTACCAAGTGATTACCATAATAAGTCTTGTCACAAGGTGGTGTTCTTAAACTAGTGTAGAGACACCATTTAAATTGTGTGTGTAGAAGCTGTCATTTAATAAACATTTAATATACTTTCTACAAAGTGTAACGAATTATACTTTGTCTGGAATTATGTCTTAACCCCTTTTTTTCTCCTGGTAGGATGCTGTCAAGATAGGAGCATCTGTTTTGAGGTTCAGAGGGAGCTCATTTGTACATAAGCGACCACAGCACCTTGCGTGGGCTTCTCCCCAACCCCTTTGCCCAGCAGATTGGCTTTGGATGAATCTTCCTTAACCCTCTCCTCTCTCCTGCTTTATTCCCTGGCCACGCTGTGGGTGTGCTGGTGCCATTTGTGGGGCCACACATACTTCTTTGCCTTTTTGGGTCTTATACCTGTGTCTGGGATTTCTTGGAAATTTATAATGTCTCTTTTGATCAGATGAGTATGTAATTCTGGACTTTCCTTTGGTCGTTAGCATTTTGAGTGACTTCTTTTAAAAATATATATTTTATTGTTTATGGTATTGCATTTGTCCCAATTTTCCCCCTTTGCCCCGCTCCTCTGAGCCTGACCCCCACTTCTGTAGTCAGTCCCCACACCGTTGTCTGTGTCCATGGGTCCTTCATATATGTTCTTTGACTACTCCGTCCACCTTCTTTCAATCCATCACCACTGCCCCCTCCCCTCTTTCAGCTGTCAGTGTGTTGTATGATTCTATGCCTCTGGTTCTATTTTGCTCATTAGTTTATTTGTTCATTAGGTTCCTTTTATAAGTGAGATCATATGCTATTTGTCTTTCACCAACTGGATTATTTCACTCTAGCATAATAGTCTGCAGTTCCATCCATGCTGTCACAAAAGGCAGAAGTTCCTTCTTTCTTTCCACTGCATAGTATTCCATTGTATAAATGTACCACAGTTTGTTTTTTATCCACTCATCTACTGATGGGCACTTAGGCTGTTTCCAAATCTTGGCTGTTGTAAATAGCGCTGCTATGAACATAGGGGTACATAAATTCTTTAGAAACTGGTGTTTCAGGATTTTTCAGGGATATTCCCAGGAGTTGAATCATTAGGTCAAAGGGCAGTTTCATTTTTAGTTTTGGGAGGAAATTCCATACTGTTTTCCACAGTGGCTGTAACAGTCTGCATTCCCACCTGCAATATGGTAGGGTTCCCTTTTCTCTATGTCCTCACCAGCACTTGTTGTTTGTTGATTTATTAATGATAGCCATTTTGGCAAGTGTGTGGTGATATCTCACTGTGGTTTTAATTTGCATCTCTCTGATGACTAGTGATGCTGAGCATTTTTTCAAGTGACTTTTTTATTTTTATTTTTCAACATTATTCAAATTCATTTTATGTGATACTTTTCATTGCTGCTCTAGATAGTTTTTGCTGAGCTTACAAATCTTTTTTTATTGTTGTTCAATGATAGATTTCCCCATCCCCTCCATTACTCTCCCCTGTCCTACCCACCCTGCACCTTCCACATTCAATGACTTCTTTTAAAACACACATACATGCATCCACACACTGTAATAAACTCTTCCTCTTTCTTCCTATGTTACTGCTCTAACTTCCTCCTTCCCTCTAACAGCCAGGCCTTTTGAAAGAGGAGTCTACACACACTCTTTCTCCACTGACTCAACTCTCTATCATATTCCAGTGCATTCCAATATGGCTTCAGCTTTCATCATTCTGATTAAACTGTTTCTGCTGAAGCCACTGCAAACCTGAGCATAAACAGATTTTTAGTTTCTCGTAATTTTCCCCATATGGTTTTCTTCACCTTGAATGTCCTTTTCCATGTTTCAGGGAAGGACTAGTCATCCTCCAAGATGCAATTCAAGTATCACCTCTTGCACAGCTTGTGTGAAGCCTGCTGTGTTGAATAGATGACAAATAAATGAGTGGTATCACTGCTTAAGTCATCTTTGACTCTTCCCTCCCCAACTTCAAATTGAGTTTCAAAACTCACCAAATTATAATTCATAAATGTTCTCAAACCCAGTGCCTCCTCTGCTTTTCCACCACCAGCTTTAGACTAGGTCTTGTTCGTCTCTTCACCGGAGTATGTAATCGTTCCGCCAATATTTTCTCTCTAATCCATCCCTCCTCCAACCTATCCCCAAGACTTCTATTTAAGAACAAATCTGTTCATGTTACTGTTCTTAAAAGCTACTACTGGCACCCCTTGACCCATGGCACACTTGCCCAAACTTACCACATGGCGTGTGTATTTTTTCACCACCTGATATGAGCCCACCACTCCTGCTGTGACCTAGCTTTCTCGCCCATGGTTCGTACTCGAAGCCTTCTTCTCCATGTTCCTGAACACACTGTCCTTTTTCAACTTTTTAACCATTCAACATGCCTGGAGACCTCTTCCCCATATCCCACTCTGCTGATAATGTTCAGGTTCTGAGTAGCTTCTCTTTTTTGAAGGCTCTAATATAATTTTGTTCATATATGTTTTTTCATAACCAGCCTAATACACTGGAAAGCTCTAATCATTGAAAAGATTATGATGCCTTTTACCCCATATGTAATTCAGTATTAAAATAATACTCACCAATTTGCAGTTTTTTTCTAGGAGTACTTAAGAGATTTTTTTTCTTTTAAAATAGCAAATGTAAAATTCTTTTAGAACATTTTATGTTCATTTCTTTGGTGCCTCTGTTTTGTTGCTGCTCTAATCTATTACATCATCCACAGCTGTGAGTTGAAAGTAGTATAGCTTAATGGTTAATAAGAGAGATTTGACATCAGACTGCCAGGGTTCAAATACCAACTTTGCCACTTACTAGTGCTTTGACCTTGGACAAGTTACTGAATCTCTTTGTGCCTCTGTTGTTTTATTTTTAAAATGGTGATTACACTGGTATCTACATCATTGAGTTTTTGCACTATCTGGTGTGTGTGTGTGTGTATAAAAAATCTGGTATTTATATAGATTGTATAGAGATTTACTTGGTAATACCTCTTCTCCCACACTATTGAACTCCTCTGGGATAAACAACCTACCTTATACATCAATGCAAAACCTGGTGCCTGGTGGCTATGCAGATAGTGTTTAATGAATGAATGAATGATCAGTAGGCAAGTAAATGTGACTCCATTGATTCTCTTGCAGACCTCTCTAAGTTTCCTGGGATATCTGGAGAAACAAGCTGCAATAGATGCAGATAATCTGACGTTACTGGAGAGTCTCTGTTCAAGTGCTGCACCTAACCTTGTGGAAAAGATAAAAATATATAAAAGAGAGAAAGGTAACTAACTTATGCTTGCTTGCACCAGACCATGGGAATTCTTTTTTGTTTGTTTATTTTTAAAAACTTTATTTAAAATTTTTGGAGAAAAGGGAACCCTAGTGCACTGTTTGTGGGATTGCAGACTGGTACAACCACTATGGAAAACAGTATGGAATTTTCTCAGAAAACTAAAAATGGATCTGCCTTTTGACCCAGCAATTCCACTTCTAGGATTATATCCTAAGAACCCTGAAACACCAATCCAAAAGAAACTATGCACCCCAATGTTCATAGCAGCACAATTTTCAATAGCCAAGTGCTGGAAGCAACCTAGGTGCCCATCAGTAAATGAGTGGATCAAAAAACTATGGTACATTTACACTATGGAATTCTATGCATCAGAAAGAAAGAAGGAGCTCCTACCCTTTGCAACAGCATGGATGGAGCTGGAAAGCCTTATGCTAAACAAAATAAGCCAGGCAGTGAAAGACAAATACCATATGATCTCACCTTTAACAGGAACCTAAACAACAAACCAAACAAGCAAGCAAAATATAACCAAAGACACTGAAGTAGAGGACAGGCTGACAGATACCAGAGGGGAGAGGGGAGGGAATTTCAGGGGAATTTCAGGGGAGAATGGGAAAGGTTTACAGGAACAAATATAAAGGACACATGGACAAAAACTAGGAGGGGGGTGGAAATGGGAGGGAGGTGGGGAGGGAGGGGTGGGTGGGCTGGGATGGGAGTAAAGGACAGAAAACTGTACTTGAACAATGATTAAAATAAAATTAGAAAAAAAGTGAACAAAATAAATTAAAAAGTAAAAAAACCTTTATTTAAAAATTTTGGTTACAGTTTCATTTTTGTTTTCTTAACAAGGCTATGTTTAATCTCTCAGGATTAAAAAAAAATAAGATTCTAAAGAATTAAACAACAAAGGAATGTAAAGGGAAAGGCACAACTACCCCCTTTCCTGGGGTATAATAGCTATTCCAGTTTAACATCTAACTTCAAAATAAAATTAATTTTTATGTTTTCTGAATGAAATAGTGTACAACCACTATCTTTTCAGCTCATTCTAATTTTCATACACGAAGCTTCATTTTAAGCTTGGAAAAAAACTTTTGCTGACCTTAGTATGTAGTGTGTACCTTACAGGAAATTAACAATCATAACATAGAAATAATGCCATTAACAAAGTCCTCAATTTAGAATCTGGAACATTCTTCCATCAAAGGGTGAGAGGGGAAAATTCAGTCCAATGAGTCTGTCTCAAGATCTTCATCTCTTGTTTGTTACACTGCATTTTCTTTTCAGTAACTGGATTAATGCTTTGAGCCCACAATGAGATATATTTTTTATCACTGCAGATTACATGTTGTTTGGTGCTCAGTTTCCATTTGTTCTTCTTGCTGGCATTTTCTGTCTGCTGCTTCTTTCTCATGTTGGCCTTTGAGCACGTTCCTTCTATGAGTAGTCTGAAAGTTTCTTCCACCTTTTTTCTTCTTCTCACCTTCTTGATCATCTCCTTCCTCTTCAGAATCAGAGGTTGATGGAACCCCTGTTTTAGCTAAATTTTTCCTTTTTAATGCAACTTCTTTCTTCCCCTATTTTTTGTCTGACTCTTTCCTTGGCTTATCTTCTCCGTTCTGACTCTCTTCATCCTTTTAAAGCTGCTTTTTAGGTTGTTTTTCCTCTTGCCCCTTTTTCTTACCTTTGTCTTCTTTAGTTATAATGTCACTCTCTGAAGGACAGTTCTGTTTTGGGTCTGCCTCTTGGTTTTGGAATCTTGACTTCTGTACCTGCAGGTTGTCCTCTTTTAAGACTCACTTTTAGATCAGCAGATGCTGTTGCTGTTGCCACTGCTCCTGCCTCCTCGGTTTCTACTTGCTTTTTTGCCTTCCTCTTTCTTCTTCTTCTGGCAGCTTTTGGAGTGGTTATGTCAATTGTTTTAGTCACATCCTCATCGCTGGCTTTTCCCTTGTGATCAGTATCTTCCTCTGAAACACTAGTTTCTTTTTCTTCAGCTTCAACATCAGTTGATGCATTTGATTGCCTAGTTGATGCCTGTTGACTTGAAAATTTCACTTTTGGATTGTTATCTATCTCCCATAAACCTTCATTAAAGTCTTTTAGTTTATTTGCTTTTCCATACTTTTCCTTATTTTTCGAGTAAGGAAATATATTCTTTGGTGCTAAAAAAGCAGTCCCATGAATTCTAAAAAAGAAAATGGGTAGTTTGTTTGTGGGTGGTTTTACAGCTCCATCGGGAACTTCATCTACCTTATCTGGGAAGCACTTTATCTGCCCTTCCATTCTAAATGAGAGCTTTGCTGGATAGAGCAATCTTGGATGTAGGCCCTTGCCTTTCATGACTCTGAATACTTCTTTCCAGCCCCTTTTGGTCTGCAAGGTTTTTTTTGAGAAATCAGCTGACAGTCTGATGGGAACTCCTTGGTAGGTAACTATCTCCTTTTCTCTTGTGCTTCTGAGATTCTCTCCTTATCTTTAGTCTTGGGTAACTTAATTATGATATGCCTTGGTATGTGTGCTTCCTTGGGTCCAACTTCTTTGGGACTCTCTGAGCTTCCTGGACTCTCCTGGAAGTCTATTTCCTTTGCCAGATTGGGAAAGTTCTTCTGCATCATGTTTTCAAATAAGTTTTCAATTTGTTGCTCTTCCTCTTCTCTTTCTGACACCCCTATGATTTGGATGTTGGAACATTTAAAGTTGCCCTGGAGGTTCCTAAGCTTCTCATGTTTTTGAATTCTTGTTTCTTTGTTCTGTTCCACTTGGATGTTTATTTCTTTCTTTCATTCCAAATTGTTGATTTGAGTCCTGGTTTTCTTCCTGTCACTGTTGGTTCCCTGTGTATTTTTCTTTATTTCACTTTGCTTAGCCTTCACTTTTTGCATCATTTTGCAACCATACTCAACCAAGTCTGTGAGCATCCCGATTGCAAGTGTTTTGAACCCTGCTTATGATATCTCTTCCTCACTTCCTTGTATTTTTTCTGGAGTTTTGATCTGTTCTTTCATTTGGGCCATGTTTTCTTTTTTTCTTTCTTTTTTTTTCCTTTTTCTCTGTGCCTGTTATGTAGTAAGGGACACAGCTTTAGGTATTTTTCAGGATGCGGCAACCCACATTGCTGCATTGTGACACCGTATGTGGGGGAGGGGTCCAAGAGGGAATAAGCGAGCTGCTTGCTTGCTCTCAGCTTTCAGTCACTTCCCCTGCTACCCACAAGCAAATTAGGCCCTTCTGGTGCTGATTCCTGGGTGGGTGTATTTGTGTATATTCTAGGACCTCTTCAATGAAGTCTCCTGTGAGGATGGGAGTCTCTCCCATCACTGCAACACCCACAGATTTTTACAAAGTTTTTGAGGCATTCTTTTCCTATGTGGAACTCTGGGTTGCTCAATCTGTCTCACTCCCCAGTTGTTCCTTCTGGCTTATCTGCACACAAATGTGGGACTGGCCGGTCTACCCACTCCACCAGCCACTGCCTTGGGGTCCATTGTCTCTGCTCCGGCTGTGTGTCTCAGCCCCTCCTACTGGTCTGGACAAATATTTCTTCTTTAACTCCTTGGTTGTTGGACTTCCGTACAGTTCAATTTTCTGGCAGTTCTTGTTGTTTTTAAATTTGTTGTCATTCTTTTGGTTGTGCAAGGAGGCAAAGTATATCTACCTATGCCTCCATCTTGGCCAAAAGTCCCCTTTATTTCTCTTTCAATTTCAAGTTGGCCAATGAGGATAACCTTTCATCTTGGCAAAGATGAGGTTTCCAGGTTTAAAATCATGAGTCATGTTTTATGAGGGGTGATGACAGGGATCCAGATCCAAAGACCAGATATGGACAGTGCAAGAGATACAGCAGGTCCCACTGGAAATGAGGTTCTGGGGACAGGGCTGGAGCCTGAGGATGCCTCAGGGTGTTCCAATATACCTGCTGTGCTGTGGACACTGAGACTGTGGTGGCAGGATGGCCACCACTGCCAGTGTCCATGCAAGCCACTTGCACTACCAACTCCCTGCAGAGGCATATCAATGGCTCAGAACAGCAAGCACCACTGTTACTATCACTATGCTGCTCCAAACCATGGGAATTCTTACACTAATCCATCATGTTGTAATTGATCAGTCTAATAGCATTCTCTTGGGAAAGCCAGAACTCTCCTGAATTTATTTATCCTACTCATTTATTGAATGCATACTTTGTACTAGACACAATTTTAGAAGCTCCTCTTGGGAACTTATATTCTAGTGGGAGAAAGTAGTTTTAGACAAATATTTTTTCATTCTTATATGAGAGCAAGAGTATAGGAAATCCATTAGAATGAAATAACAATAAAGGAGGCAGAACAGCATAAGGATTATGCTAAGGAGTCAGATCACCAGGACTCCATTTATTAGTGGTGCAGTGGTCCTTTCCTCAGCGTTTTCATGTCTCACTTTCCCTGCCTATAAAATGGGGATAATGATGGTACTCTCCTCATGGGTTTTTTCAAGGTATGAATTTGATAATTCATGTAAGATGTATGTCTAACACAAAGTAAAGCATTCAATACATGTTGCTATGAGATGTCTATCAGAGAAGAAAGTCATAAAAACTTTCATATGGTATGCTCAGAAATTCTGTCAGAAAAGAAATTTATTACTATTATTTTAGCCTGTCTTGTAAAAGTGGTATTGCATTGGTATTATATAAAGGTAATGGCACAGAGCAGAAATGAAACCTGGCTGCCTCACCAAATATCAATACGCAAAACTTTGTGTTTTTCTGACTCTATTTCTCCACTGTTAAGCAAGAGCTATCGGCAACCACACCCATATTTTAGTTCAGTGAGTCAACTTAGTGTGTAGATTTCTCTGCTTAAAAATGAAACTAGCCAAAAGGAAACTTCTCTCTACGAATTCTACAAACACAAAATGAATTGTAGAACAAAATATATTGTTAAATTGTTGAAATCTCAAATTATAACTAAAGCAATGAATAAATGTGTAATTTAAGTAAAAGTTATGAATAATAAAAAAAGGTTTCTAACCATCAAGGTTTCAAGCGAAATAAAAAGCAGGAAGTTGATGTCGAAAGTATATTTGGAATCCTCACTTGAACTCTGATCACTGAATTTTTTTTCCTATGCACATTGCCATTTTCCTGTAATGTACCCACACAAAGTAAACATAGGGTAGGTTGTCAGATTATTTTGAATATCTGAAGTCTGCAGAAGTCAGTCTAGTTTTTATGTAGTAAATGCCTCCATGAGTCTTGAGGACTGAGCTTCATATCAGAAGAATTCTAATCTTGATTTTTCTTTTCTACAACCTACCTGTTGTGTGATCTTCTTTCAATATTGAAAAAGAAAAAAAAGAAACTCTTGTTTTCCTCTACTACTGACATACCAACACTTCTGGAACACTTCAGATCCCTGGTGTGTGAGTATTTCCACACCAAACAATTCTCCAGTTCTCTGCAGACACCTACTGGATGTCCTACATTAACTAAATTTTGACACTAACCAAAGTTATTGCAGACCCTAAGGTCTCAGGACCCCAACATTGACCTCAACTTCAGACACCAATTACAATTAGTGGGACCTCAAATTACAGCATCTGTGCTATTTGGGTACAAACTGGTGGTTCTCGTGATCCGCCCCCTTGGGTTCAATATTTTGCTAGAATGACTCCAGACTCAGAAAAACAGTTCACTTACCAGATTACTGGTTTATTATAAAAGAAACAGCTAAATGGAAGAGATGTGTAGGATAAGGTGTGGAGGAAGGAACACAGAGCTTCCAGGCGCTCTCCAGACAGTTCATGTTTCTCACACCATCTCCTGTTCACCAACCCGGAAGCTCTCTTAACTTTTTCAGTTAGGGATTTTTATGGGGGCTTCAACTGTAGGTATGACTGATTAAATCATTGCCCATTATGATTAATTCTACCTTTAGCCCCTCTCTTCTTCTAGAGGTCTAAAGGAAGATTCTTCCAATCACATGGTTAGTTCTCCTGGCAACCTGCCCCCATCCTGAGTCTATCCAGGAGCCTCCAACCATCGGTCACCTCATAGGCATATGAAAGACATCACTTCAGAGAGTCTAAAGATTTCAGGAGCTATGTGACAGGAAAGGGAGCAGAGGTCAAATATATATTTGTTATTATATTACACGTGTCAATTGATTAATAGTGACTTTCTACAGTCTTAAGAGTTTGGGCTTAATTTTGCCATTGAGAATGAGGGACTAGAGGACTGAAAAGACAGTGGCTATGTGGATTTTAGACTTCTGTAAGTGAGTGTGAGCCAAAGACAAAGTTCATTGTATCCGACTGGGACATAAGCTCCCATTTGCCATTTGCCATATGGCCATTTGCCAGATACAGAATAAGTGATATAGCAAATAAAAGCAGCAAGAAAATCACAGCATATTCCTAACATTTTAATAACTTCTGCTTGTAATTATCTTCTGTGATCTGGAACTTTTGTTTTACCTAAAACTGGAGTTCTTGCAGTCCTTGTCCATCTTCAGGCTGCTACCCGTTTCCATAGAAGTCTGGTTCTGGTATACCTCAGAAGTAACTTTCTTTTTAGAGACATTATCTCTTCTTCCGAGAGTCTTCTCTTTTCTTCAAGTTTCATTCTCTCTTCTTGGTGAACTCTTTTAAGATGCTCACATTTAGCTTGTACTTCTCTTTTAGCTTGTTCTAGAATGGCTTCTTTCTCTTTTACTCACTGCACAAACATCTGCTTCGTTTCTTCCTTCCTCTGATGTTCCCCATAAAATTTGTGTCTTTTGGTTTTGTAGGTCTCTTGAGGACTAAGGGGCTTATTTTCTGGGCCCACTTGCCCATTTCTTCCAGTTTGAAAGCCTGTAAAGTTCATAGTGCTTAGTGTGGGTCTGTTCTCCCAGATCCTTCATATATGTACACATGAGCATTTCCCAGAGCTTTACAAAGTCACAGTGGCTTTCAGTTTCCACTTGTACCACTCCACAAAGGTACTGGTGAATTTTGGCCCTCTTATTTCCAACTTTTAACTTATCTGTACTTCTGTCAACTGATGATCATTGGTGCCAGTTCAAGGCCAAGAGGAATCCCCAAATTGGGATGTGGTGAAGAAGGAAACTTTATTCAGTGCAAACAGTGATGGCTATGAAAATAGTGCTACATCACAGCTGTTAAAACAGCAAGGCTCTGAGGCTGCCCCTGGGGCCAGGTGGCCCTGGGGTCAGGCCTCTCTTCAGGTAGGCAGCTCTGAGATGGTCTGTTCCATTCTGTGCTGGTCTGTTCTGCTCTGGCCAGACATCTTTGGTGTTTCAGCTCTAGCCTAGGAAATGGAATCTTCAGTCTTTGGTGGAAAGTGCACTCCCAGAGTCAGAGAGGCACTGGTTTATATGGACAGAAGTCCCTGCCCCTGGTCCCTGATTGATCTGTCCTCATGCAAATGAGGACTCTATCCTCACAATTTGATTGGTTCAAAGACACTGTCCTGATTGGCCAGAGCTATGCAGCTCTGATTGGATTCGGAAAGCCTCTATCCTATTGGCTGAAATAGGGTTCCAGGAAACCTTTATGAGGGTTTGTTCAAATAAATGGCAGAAACTGTGTGGGCAGGCAGTTCAGCACAGAGGCAAGAAGGTTAGTGCAGAAGCTTCTTTGCAAAGGGCAGTTTGCGTGAGAGGCTCCTGTGCAGAAGTGGCTCCTAGACTCTGCTTTTTAAAAATTTGAGCCCAGTTAGCCCCCAGGAGCCATTCTTAGTTCTCAGGGTTTACAGCATCTACAACAGCAAATAGCAAATGTCATTCATTGAAGCCTTGATTTTAGCAATAGTTTCATCATCTGTTGGGAACTGGTATATCTGGAGGCCATTGCTGACCAATTCACTCAGGAGCTCTATCTTAAACTTCTGTAATTCAGTATATTAGACATTGAAATTGTTTTGGCAATCACTGGCACCATGTTCACCTTACTGTCAAGGCTCTTCATGGTTAAGAGATCAAGTGTGTTTAGAGAGTGCCTTGTTGGTGAAATGAAGTCGAGGCACACATGGATATGAGAATTGTGGTATTTAAAGAGAGAATGCTTACTCTTCAGTTCTTCTTGGAGACAGGCATCAAAATGACCATTTATGTAGTCACTATATGTTGTTAGGTCTCTTCTTTGTTCATTCGGTCACCAAATCTCACTGTACTCACACAATGTCCCATTCTAATTGAAAATTACTTTCTTGGAGTTCATATGTCTGAGTTTTAAGCCTAACACGTGGGTAAAATGTGAGGAGTCATGATCTTCAAAATTAGTATTAAACAGTATATTAATCAGCATTGATTTTACAATTCCGATCTCCCCAACACAGAAAATATTAAACAGAAGCCTTGCTGAATGGATTAATTGACCAGCTGATCAGGCAAACTCTTAAAACCAACATAGCCAGACATAGTTAAAAGAACAAATATTTTCCTTTTGCAGAAGCTGAGCAAAGGCAGGACAACAAAGTAGCAGCCTTCACGGGGTGTGTCCCAGTGGTGGAGGAAGCCAACGGGGGCCAGAAGGAAGAAATACTTTCTAGTTCAGACGTTCAGCAGCTCCTTCAAGCCTTACCGGTAGGTTCATTGGTGTGTTGGAAAATGTTTAACCATTCTCTCCATTGTCGACCCCCAACCCCCAAGAAAAAGAGGTGGCAGTGGGAAGGGAGAGAGAGACAGAGAGGGAGAGAGACTGATTTCAATGGCTGATTTCAGGTTACCAATATGATATCAACTGTACTGCAGAGTTTTTGAAAATCTAACAATGGCTCTCACTAACTAGTTTGAGGCAACTCCACTGTGCCGCTCTGTGTCATCTGTTCTTCTCTTTGGGGGTTCAGTCAGGGCTGGCTTGATGGGCATACAGCCTGTGCAGGTGCTGGTTTGAAATTCTTAATAATGTATGAACTTTTGTTTTACACTGAGCTCCACAAATTGTGTAGCTAGTCCTCCCGAGACAACAAGAACTGAGTTTCTGTCGTGCCCAGGAAAGGAAGGGTGGAAAGAAGAGGGAAACATTGGGAGACGTTGCGACCTGCTCCTCACAGCATGGTCATCGTCCCCGGGAGACATATGACATCCTGCCCTGGGATTTGTTTCTTTCCTGCAGACTCGGGTAGTCCTATTTTGCCAGCCTCTGTCAGCATCAGTGAAGTTAGCTTGGCCTTGGGAAGTTTTGTTTTTGTTTTTAATTGTGGTAAGACACACATAGCATAAAATTTATCATCTTAACCATTTTTTAAATGTACGGTTCAGTACTGTTAAGTACATTATGTGGTTATGCCCTCAATCTCCAGAACTCTTTTTATTTTTCAAAACTGAAACTCTGTATCCACTAAACAATGGTAGCTCACCCCCTTGCCCCCACCAACTCCAGGCAAACACCATTCTAGTTTCTGTGAATTTAAGTACTCTATGTACTTCATATAAGTGGAGTCATACAGTATTTGTCTTTTTGTGACTGGCTTATTTCATTAGTATAATGCCCTCAAGGTTTATCTATGTCAGAATTTTTTCCTTTTAAAGGCTGAATAATATTCCATTTTGTTTATCCATTCATCAATTAATGGATACTTGGGCTGCTCCCACCTTTGAACATAGTACAAATGCCTCTTCGAGACCTTGCTTTCAGTTCTTTGGGATATTGACTCAAAGGTGGAATTGATGGATCATAGAGTAATTCTGTGTTTTATTTTTTGGGGAAACACCATACTGTTTTCCACAGCAGCCGTATCATTTCTACCAACAATACACAAACATTCCAATTTTTCCACATCTTTACCAACACTTATTTTCCTGGTTTTTGATAGTAACCATCCAAATGGGTGTGAGGTGGAATCTCATTGTGGTGCAGCACTAATGATTAGTGATGTTGGGCATCCTGTCATGTGCTTGTGGGCCGTTTGTATTTCTTATTTGGAGAAATGGGTTGTTTTCAAATTAGGTAGTTTGTGGGAGTTTTATTTAAAAATTATTTATTTTTAATTATTTATTTTTAATTGATTTCATTGGCGTGATAGAATTTCATCCCTTATTAACCCTTTATTGGTTGATAGAATTATATAGGTTTCAGTGGTACATTGACACTTTAAAAGAACATAGTCACCTTCACCACCATCTTTTATTAAAAGATGGACTTTGCCTCATTTTCGATGTGTGTGGTGTTTTCTCATGATCAGATTCAAGCTATGTGTTCTGGCTAGCATTGTACATAAATGATGTACATTTCTCAGCATTATATCTGAAAGCAATGGTATCCATCTGCTCCTCATTTCTGATGCTCACTTTGATTATGTGGTCAAAATGTTGTCTGATTTGTTCATTATATAGTTAATTTTATAGAATTACTATTTTCCTTGCAATTAATAAACAACTGTTAGGGAGACATTTTAAGGTGAAACAAATGTACTACTTTCTATCAAAATTTTCCTCTAGATGGAGCATCCATTGATCATTCTTGTGGGATTGAATATTTACTATGTTGATTGAAAAACGATGATTCTCAAACTCTTGTATTCTCTCTATGCTTATAAGTCAACATTTAACATTATACATTAAGCAAGAGCCCCCTTTTCTTCCTCACAGTTTCTTTTGCCCAATGAACTGAATTCTCCCCTACTCTTTCAAGTATTTGTGTGTGTGCTCAGATACTGATGTGTGTGTACAACATGCATACACACAAACAAACACACATGAGACTTGGCTCTTTGGCTCTTAGGAATTCAGTACTTCCTAAGGACTGAGGCTCAGCCTTGGTCTCTAAGTGCTGCTGTCTTGCTGACATTGGAGGATTCTGTCCACCGGCAGATGAAGATGAAGATCATTGTCGGGTGCTGGGAAGGCAGGAGGCTTTAGGGGGCGGAACCTAACATTACATATGTTCTCATAGACTCTTGGGGTTGGAAGGCATATTACAAGTTATCTAGGTAACTGTGCCCCTCTGTATAAAGTGGGAGATAAAATAACACTTGGAAAATCATCTCATGGTTCATATGCACCGCGAGGTTTTCTTATATAAAAGAGCTCTGTGAACCATTGCATTTAATGAGAAAAAACTGTATTTCAAGCAGTGTCCCCTAATTGGTTCCAAAAGCAAGTCAATATTTTCAAGTGTGGCATAGAATTTTCTTACTGAATCATCCCGGAAAAGAAGTGGAAAGACCAAACATGGCCAGGCAGTGGGTCATTCATTCATTCCTCTCTGACACAAAGACTTGGTAGGTGCCAACAGAGGGTGCAGCATTCTCTGAGAAAGAGAGCCAGGCAGACCTTAAAGCTTGTTCTCTATCCCTGTTCTGGATGATTTTATCAGCACAAGGGAGTAGACAAATCAAGGAAACCTGGGGTCTGGAGATGCTGGGCAGAGCCCACTTCTGCAACCGTGATTCCCCTAATTCCAGGAAACTTGCCGAACTGATTTTAAAACCATCCAGACAAGCAGGAAATACCCCGCCAGGCCTTTGAATATTGCTAATAGGGACTCCAGGTTTTTAAAGAAAGGGAAATGTGTCTTGCAGAAAGAAAGGCAGGAAGTCTTCCAAAGTGAAACTAAACTTCCTTTGCGTTTGTACTTTCAGGGCTGGGGAATCCTGCTGTTGTGCACCTTGAGAGTGAGGTCATGAACCTTTAGTCTGAGTTGAAGATAAGTCGCCCTCCTGTAGCCAGAAGCCTGGTGGGCTCAGCAAGGAGGTGCCCTCAGTGACCTGGAAGTGATTGAAACAGGGCTCCTGGTGCTGCTCACCACACAGCCAGTGGCAGGGTCAACCCCTCCCCAGATCACCTTGGTCATGTCCGCTTTGGGGCTTTCTGCTGCAGACTAAGGGCTTGGGGTAGAGTGGTTGGGGAGGACGATGCAGAAAAGCTGAGGGTTTCAGTTTTGTGTTTAATTATATAGAACATTTAAGTAGGCCCAAGGTAAAAACTATGGTAGAGTATATACAGAGAAGTCTGGATTGTCTCCTTGCCCCTCCCCCACAGATTACCATTTTAGTTTTCTGATTTACCCTACTATTAGTTTTGAAAAAGAAAACCAACCCATATCTCCCCTGTATTCTAAAAGAGGTATCCCACTAAAATACTATTCTTCACCTTACTTCCTTCATGTAACAGTATCTGCTAGAGAAGTTAATAGGGATTGCCTTCTGCATCCTACGCTCACTGTGTGGGTTTTCCATAGTTCTTTCAACTGCTCCCTGTTGGCAGACATTAGAGTTACTTCTAGTGGTTAGTATAATGACTAAATATCTTCGTGCATGTGTCATATCATGTTCCTGCCACTGTGCCTTTGTGAACATTCCTCTTTGGAAGAAGGGAGTTGATTCTCTTCTTGTCACCTGCCAGTGACTTTTTCTATGGCTGGGGATTAGGTATCTTTCCTTTTCTGCATCAAGTCAACTTTTTTTTAAACAGTTTACTTTTTAGGTTTATTATAAGGGATACAACTCAGGACCATCCTATATGGAAGAGATCCATGGGGCAAGATATGGGAGTGAGAAGCAGCAGGGAGCTCCCGTACCTTCTCAGGGCAAGTCTAGATTTTCAACCCTCCTCCTAACTGTGAATTTCCCGAATTTTACACATATCCTGTTTCCTCAACAGGAGGGGCCCTGGCAAGATGAACCTGCAAGGAGTATGGTAGATGTTCCTAACACAATTTTTATAACTTGGGTCACTATGGCAGAAATAGATATATCTGATAACAAGTTATTCAAGGTGACATGGGAGACCGGTTACAAATTAGTGAAGAATTCATTTCTTATCTCAATTCAGAGCAAACTAGTGAAGGCAGGTATTGTACCAGCCTTTTCTATGGGAAGAGGGAGAGACGGCTTCTACTCTGAAAGCCTAGCGTAGCAGCTTCTGGGGACTAGAGACAACCCTTCAGAATTAGGCCGCTCTACAGAGAGGGAAGGAATCCCTGGCAGGGCTGAAGCCCCGGGCCAGCAGTGAGCGAAGAGGGAGTGCCGAGTCTGAGAGAGTATCTGCGCTGCTGGCGTGGCTCCACACGCTGCCTGAAGACGGGCCGAGGCCGGAGGGAGGGACTTGGCGCTGGTGTGTTTACTTTCCTGAATCTTTGCCCAGAAACCACAACCTCAGGAAAACATTTCAGAACCTGCCATTGGGCCAACCTGCTTATAGACAAGCAGGTTTTTGATGTTGTCTCTCTGTGATGTGTAAAGTTTAACAGATCTGAGTTCTCTTTTTTTCCCGCAAATTTAAATTTCAGAGTCCAACACACTCCACTTTCCTGGGAATCAATCTCTCTCTCTCTTTCTTAACTGGGAGGTTACATGATATGATATTGGTGGGAGTTACCATTATGGAGTACTTGCCATGTGCCAGGCATTGTTCTAAGAGTTTTCTAGGGCTTATCTCTTTTAATCATCCTACCACATGCACACAGTTTCCACTGTTATTGTCACTTGATAATGAGGAAACCAAGACCCAACAAGTCTAGCCTTTTGCTCTAGGTCATGTGGTTAGAAAGGAGTGGCGTTGGGATTTGAACCAGCAGTCTGACTCCAGAGCTCGCACTCTGAGGTTGGCTGTACTGCTCGGCAGCTATAGGAGCTTAGGCAGCGCCTTCACTTCCTTGAAAAATAAACAGGTTTCTTTCAGATTTGCAATTCTGCAGTTTCAAAGTTTGGGCCTGGCTTCCCTGGAGTGTTACCTTCTTCCAAGGTGAGGAAGAATGTACAGGTGCTCCGTGTGACTGCAGCTCTGGTCCTTTCTGGTGTGTTTTCAGGTCTGCGGGATACTGGACTCACTCAGCCTGAGCTGAGCACCCAGGACTGACCCTTAACCAGAGTTAATCACTAACTCAGGCCTCAGAGACGAGGGCAGAGCTTGCTGGATTCTACTGAAAACCGGCTGGCGGGAGAAGAAAAGCTTCAAGAGAAATGCCTTGTTACTGTCATATGACAAATAGCTCGTCATTGGCTTCCTGTCTATGATGGATTCTGATTTAGAGGAATCAGGAAGTTCGCAGAAACCCTTCAAAACACTGCAATCCTCAGCTAATACCAAAAGCATGGCTAAGTAATCCCAGGGCTATGGACTGATTTTTGTCCTTCCCAGATAGAGTCTCTGGGCTTTTCATTCCCTCTTTCTTCTCCTTGTATCTGGCCAGCCTCTCTCTAGCCAGTGACAGATAAGTGCTGATTCCACCTAACCAAGCTTTACTCCAGAAGCATTTGAGCTGATCCATGTGATGTTGACTCTCAGCTCATCCTGTGTAAGGCCATCTAAGTGTTTGGAGAAAGATATTTGAAGAATCTGAGTACTTCTCTTTCTAGGTGACAGAGTAACCCTGGTCTCCATAGAGATGTAGGGACCATCTGCTTACATTCTAGCTTCTGAAACCAGCACAGAAGTCTGGGCAGTTTCTTCAGGGCATCTCTGGCTGGGGTCCAGCTGTTAATGACTTTGAGGGCTCAGAGTTCTTTGTGTCTGTGTTGGTTCTTATTCCACTCTCTGTGGTTATCTCTTTCTTTCCCACATTTTTCTATAACCATCAGAGTGTGTTGGCGTTGGGCTGTGGAGGGAATGCTATTCCCCTTTAATTATTTAAAGAAAGGGAAATTTCTCTTTTATTGACTGATGACACTTCTTTTCTGTTTGGATTCAAGAGGTACCATGCTTTCAGATCATTTTAGCCACACAGAGGCCCTGCTGAAGTCAACTCAGATCATTTGTAATCATATACTGTTTACAATAGCCTTCAGAAATAATTGCATATATTTTACAATTCCCACTGCGATCTCTACCAGAGAGATCTCTCTGGTTTTAGAGGAATTGGATCACTCTGAATCTTACCATCTGACAAAAAAAAATTATCATTTGATGGTTTTGTTGTCTTGTTAGATCCTTACTTATGGTTTCCTCACCTTGCTAGTCCAAAAAGGAAGATGCTTTTGCATAAACCCTGGGTTTTCCGAAGTTAAAGTACATAGTCTGTTATTTAACACTAAGAACTGACATTCTGCACTTGAATGAGGTGAAGTCTGATTTTTAATCAGGGCCTGGCAATTGATTAATTCCAGACCAGGGCCAGGATGTTAAGAATTCTCTGATCAGTTAGGTGGTTGGTTAGAAACATTAAACCCTTAAATTGAGGGTTCCCTAATAAGTGGCTTTATCTCTTTTTCTTCCAAGGAGGAAGCTGTGTATAGGATGGATCATAAACATAGAGGCCACTGTGTTGTTATCAACAACCAGAACTTTACCTCACTGAAAGAAAGAAAGGGGACCCAAAAAGATGCTGGTAAGAAAGGCCTTAAGAGTATGACAAATGCAAGTTGAGGATCTTAAAATAATTTTTTTATTTCACATTTTCTTTTGGTAATTTTTATCTTCCACTAAATGTAAGGATGATATTTTAAATGTTTCTAAGCCCTAGTGTTTTACTCCAACCAGGCTGCCATAGCAAACTACCAAGACTGGGTGGCTTATAAACAACAAACACCTATTTCTTACAGTTCTGAAGGCTGGGAAGTCTCAGATCAGGACTCTGGCGGTCCAGTGTCTGGTGAGAGTGGGCTTCCTAGATGGACACCTTCTTGCTGCTCTAACCTCACTTGGCAGCAGAGGCAAGAGAGCTCTTTGGGGTCTCTTTACACGTTCATTCCTCATGGCCTAAGCACCTTCCAAAGGCCCCACTTTCTAATACCCTTCCTTTGGGGGTTAGGATTTCAACACATGAATTTGGGGGAGACACACACTTTGAGACCACAGTACCTGGGGTGTCACCAAGCGGCTTAAGGAGTGAAAAGAATCCCTGACCATTTACGATTCTGTGGTTTGGGGGCGAGCAAGCTGGGTCAGCGTGAGAAAACTCACATTTGAGCTCTGGCTCCACCGCTAACCAGGTTTGTGGCCGAGGGAGACTCACAGGACCCCTGCTCCCTCGTCCATGATACAGAATGGAGTCTGGCTTCTGCTGACCCTCAGGTCCATTGTGATAGCTCTGTGGGTGCTATAAAAAGTCAGGTTACTTATAAAATTTTACTGTCAGGAAAGTAAAAAAAATTCCAAAGCTTCAAGCTATTTGCTGTGCAATTTTTATAACTATTAGCATTGTTTGACCAATTAATTTTATTTCATTTCAGTCAATTTTATTTCATGCCATTCTTTTCTCTCTCTCTCTCTCTCTTTTGACAGACTGCCTGAAGCACGTGTTTCAGTGGCTTGGGTTCTTCGTACATACACATGTTGATGTGACTAAATCACAACTGGAGGAGCTTCTGAAAATGTATCAGAATCATCCAGGCCATGCTGAAGGAGACTGCTTTGTGTTCTGTGTTCTGACCCATGGGAAATATGGAGCCGTCTACTCTTCAGATGAGGCCCTCATTCCCATTAAAGACATCATGTCTCACTTCACAGCCCATCGGTGCCCTCGTCTGGCTAGCAAACCCAAACTCTTTTTCATCCAGGCCTGTCAAGGTGAAGAGATACAATCTTCTGTATGTGTTGAGGTAGATGCTGTAAATGCCAAGTCAACCCACCCTCCCCTTCAGGACAGTGTTCCTGTTGAGGCGGATTTCCTTCTCGGCCTGGCCACTGTCCCTGGCTATGTGTCCTTTCGTCATACCACAGAAGGCAGCTGGTATATTCAATCTCTGTGTAATTATTTGAAGGACTATGTCCCAAGGTAAGAGTTTCACATTGTTCTATTCACCTACCTGTTTATCTATCCATCTATCCACCTTCTTGTTCATCCATCTGTCTATCTACATACCCGTGCATACATTCATGCATCCACCCATCCATGCATCCCTCCATTGTAACATCTGTCTGTCCATCCATCCATCCATCCATCCATCCATCCAACAAAGCTGGACTGAACACCAGTATATAAATGGAAAGGAAGATATGGGATAAAAAAAAGACATAGTCCCAGCCCTCAAGTTGCTCACAATCTGGATGGACAGACAAGTAGGTGGGAAGAGCATCCCCCAGTGGTAAATACATATTGTAAAGCATGGGTGTTATGGGAACACACAGAACAAGTACTGTACCCAGATTTGGAGGATCAGGGAAAACTTCTAATTGGGGTGAAAGACATGTTACACAGAGGGAACAGTGTGAATAAAGACATGGGGGCCTTTTACTTACTCCTTCCATTAGTCATTTATCAGTCACTCAGATTTACTGAGTGCTTATGTGCTGCTTCAGACCATATTCTTGGATTTTAGCCTCTGCTCTGACAGCTTCCATCTTGTCTCTACCACATGCTCCTTACCTGGTACCCTGGAAATGAGCCCTTCACCAAGGCCTGGGCCTCCTTCTCTGCTGTCTCTCGGTAGCCCCTCTTGGCAGTTTTAGCTATACTTGGAGGCCACTGGAACCTCCATAAAAATGTCTCCCAAATTCCCATCTCTGAGTTTCTGGAGGAGTAACTTCATTCAATTTTATATCCTGAGTGCCTGGCATAGTGTCTGATACATTGTTGAGCTTGATAACTATTTGCTGGACCAATGAATGACTGATCAAGTCAACTTCATTCTTAAGGTCAGTCTTGCACATCTTTTCACAGCCTGCCAGACGTCCTACTTTTGTGTTGCTCTTGGACCTTACAACCCAAAGAACAGGCCTGAATTCATCTTCTCAGCCCTCTCCAGGAACTTCTACTCCTGAGTCCCATTTCTAGAAATGGCCACAATGTTCTTCCTGGAATTTAAGAGAGGGAATCAGAATTGGAGCCTTGAGTTAACCTGAGCTTTCTCCTCTTCTTTACCAACCTCTACATCCCCACAAAAACCATCAGAGGCCCATGTTCTATGGCTTCAAAGGGATACTGTATGCCTGCTATACTGGGTACTGAGCCAGGGACTAGAGGGACAGCTACTGTTAACATGAGAGACAAAACTCTCTTCTCCATGGAGCTTACAGTCTAGTGAGAGGAAAACATATAATAGACATATAAGTAAATGAATATTTAAATTAATAAGATAATTTCAGGCAGTGATACCTGCTATGAAGAAAGCAAAACAGGATAATGATATAGAGAGTGGGGGCAAGGAGCTACTTGAGAAGACTTCTTGATAAAGGTGACAGTTCAAACGTGACTGAATGCTGAGGAGGAGTCAGCCACGGGGAGATTTCGGACAGAGAAAACAGCTAGTGTGAAACTGGATACAAGGATTAAGAACCAGGCAGGGCCTGCATTCCCATCTGAAAAATAACGATGATGATGAGAAGTTGTAGTGATAATAGTTTGACCAAAAAGTCCCATAAAATAGAGTACACATTTTTCATTTTCATCAATAACTTTGTTGATTTGGATATTTTGGGTATGTTGACTGTCTCCCAAGTGGTATGATGTTGATTGCTCTCAAATATGTCTCAGTTTTATCATTATCAACTTCAATTGGTCTACCCAACCATGGAGCATCATCCAGCAAGAAATTGCCAGCATGAAACTTCCCTAACCACTTTTGACATGTTCGGTCAGTCACAGCACCTTTTCTATACACTGCACAAATCTTTTTTTCAGTTGTGTTTTTACCTTTCTTGAAATAATAAAGCACAATATCCTGAAAATGTTGCATATTTTCTTCCATCTTCAATATTAAAATGGCTCCCCAAAATTCACCAATTTTGATTTTTTTTAAATTCACACTGATATGACAGCTGTCACAATACAATCTAACAAAATGGTTTCAAATGAAGTTAAAGACAACTGACCACTACCAGAACCAGCTTATGGAAACCCGAATGAACTTTTTGGCCAAATCAGTACTACTGATAACACTAAAAATGATGGTCAGTGGAGATTGTAGCCAGGGTTCTAAATGCTTTACATAAATTACCTCATTTAAACTCATGGCAGTCCCTAAAGTGAGTATTATTATGGTATTCATATTAGAGCCAAGAAAACTGAAGCATAGTAAAGTAGGGACCTGCCTAAGACCACATCATCAGTAAGAGATGGAGCCATGATTCAAACTTAAGTCTGTCTCAAGGGCCTTTGCTTTCCTTCCAAAGATATGTATTGCCCACCCCTGGAACATTCATTCTAGTAAGTGCTACACATCCCAAGCCCAAGTTCGAATGTTATCTCCTCTAGGGAGCCTTCTTTGCTCCCAGCCAGAAGTTCTGTCTTTCTCATTTGAACTTTCAATGGAACTTTGACCTTCTTTTCCTATGGTATTGATCACATTCTGCCTTACAGTATGAATTTGGTATGTATGCTATTCTTGGTACATGTCTTATGTCTGCATTTTAAGTGTTTGAAATTGGGAATCATATCATATTTATCTTTGTATCCCTCCCCAAACCAAGAATAGAGAGAATATTATTAACAGTAGGCTCTCTTTCTCTATCTCCACCACCTGCCTATCTTATCTATCTATCTATCTATCATCTATCTATCTATCATCTACCAGTTTGAAGGAAGAACGTGGAGAAATAATTATATGTAAATTTCATTTTGGACTAAATACGTTAAAATGCAAGGTGTAATTATTATAATTTTCTTAAATGCTGAATGTAGAATTGAAAATTTTATATTATTTAGCATTTGTTTTTCAATTTCAGAAGTATTTCTTTGTATTTGGCAAGATTCCAGTTAGAATCTGGGCATGTAAGGCTGGGAAGAAGACACATGTTTTAGGGTCTTATTTCTAAGACCTTGTACCTGATTTCTGTCTCCTGATTGAAAATGTATTTTGTTCTCTGCCTGTAGACATCAAGATATCTTATCCATCCTCACTGCTGTCAATGATGATGTGAGTCGACGAGGGGGGACACAGAAACAGATGCCTCAACCAGTTTTCACACTACGTAAAAAAGTCATATTCCCTGTGCCAGAGAAAAAACATTCCTATTTTCACACTATGTAAAAAAATCATATTCCCTGTGCCACAGAAAGAACATTCCTATTTTCACACTGTGTAAAAAAAATCATATTCCCTGTGCCACAGAAAGAACATTCCTATTTTCACACTGTGTAAAAAAGTCATATTCCCTGTGCCACAGAAAGAACTTTTATTATGGTAGAGAGTTTTCATTGACTCTTAGACTTGAAAGGAACCTTCTCTTCCAACTTCCAACTTCCAACCTCGCATAGGAAATCATTGACAGACAATGAGCTGACCTCCAGTCTGTCAGTCTAGTAATAAGAAATGCTCTATTTTCTGACACAGTAAATGCTGTTCTTCCTTTCCCCCTTTCTAAACAAGTCTAAATATTACAAAACTTTTTTATTGGTGCCTTGGATTATAGTCTTGATTTTAGCTGTGCACCCTGAGGAAAAAGTAATTGGCCTTGGTTTGTGTATCTGTAAAGTGAAAAGTGGGACCAGGAACATTTTAAGGTTCCTTTTCGCTCTAAGAACCAATGTTCCTAGATTTCTGTAAGAAATGACCACTCTTTGTTATAATTCTGTGTCCCTTTTGCATGGTCTTTTTTGGGCATTGGCTGATGACAAAATTATGGTTTACTGACCCTACCTCTGCTCTTCCCTTCCCAAGGCTTCCCTTCTGCACATCTGCTGGGGGCCGGGGAATTTGGTTTATGCCCCACCCATTTCCTGCTTTAGTGTTAGGGCAGGTGTTCCTGCAGGAACTGGTTTTCTTGGGTTGGGAACTGGGTTGTCTCTAGGAAGATGACAACTCTGTGTAAAGAGAGACACACATTCAGCTACTCTGGGGGCAGAAACTTTACAATCTGACGTTACTTCCCTGTCGGTCAGAACCTTTTAGACACTGGTGACAGACCTCTGAACTCAAACTGACTAAAGCAAAGAATTGATTGCATCCTTCACTTGAAAACACGAATGTGTAGTGCTGGCTTCCAGTGAGGCATGGATCGGACTCAGTCTTCAGTACAGCATCTGTCTCTTGTCCAAGGGCCTGCAGGATTGGCAGCTGCACTGTGCTGACCGCAGTCAACAGCCACTCCCCCCACCCCACACCCCCACTGCCTCCATCACAACACACCTCTGCTCCTCTAGCCCCAAGGATGAGAGAAGCAGCTTGAGGAGCTGAAGCTGTTCACAGGGAGTGCTGCTCTCTCCTTAGCCAGAGAGGTGTCTGGCTATGCCTTGTGGGTAGGGTGGCTCTGGATGGAAGCCTTGACACTTAAAATTTAGATTTTGAACATTTTTACATATGTGAACTCTTTTTTTTCAATTTCAGAGAAATTTTTCTTTTTTATTTCCTGGAAAGAGGGCAATTAAAAGTGCCGTGGTTACAGCCTTCATTCATAGATGAGGAAGCTGAGGGCCCAGGAGGCAGGGCAATTGGCTACAGCCTTTCAGCCAGTTATTGTTTACCTGATATTGTTTCCCATGCAAGTGAACTGGAGTGTCGTGGGGCATACAGGACTCGAGGAACATGTCCTTGGATATGCAGATGCTCACGAAAGATGTCAGGGAATGAAGAAAAGTCTTGGTGATGTCTGATTTTGTCAATTATTTCTGTGAAAGTCAAATTCATTTATAGTGAACTTTCTATGAAAAATAGTCATAAGAACCTTGTTATAATGTAGCTAGTACTCACACGTATTTAAATGCAGATTGGCAAAGGAAATGAATCTAATACATAGGTCAGGATGGTCTTCCAAAACTATCGTTCATGTAAGTCAAAGCTAACAGCTGGTGGTCATAGTCTCTGTTCAACTGGATATGCCCAGCTATTGGCCATTCGACAGTCCTCTGTGCAAGGGACGCATGGTGTGGTACAAAGAGCAAAGCATCTGGAGATGGGAGCCTTGGGTTTCCGTTTGGCCCTGTGACTCCTGTGCTCAAGGACAATAACTCAAACAAGTTGTTTTGAGCCTTATCTATGAAGTAGAGAAAATGTTATCTGTTGAGGAGATTAAGGATTTTATATGTATATATATATATATATATATATATATATATGTACACACACACACAGAGTTGGACAAAAGTAAGTTTATAGTTGTTAGTATGTGAAACAGAGTTTACTCTTGTATTACTATTTATTAATTGTATTGTTTTCCATACGAACAACTGTAAACCTATTTTTGCCCCATTCTATATATGCTTTTAGATTTAATGGCTTCCTAGAGATATCTATTTAGATATATAGATAGCTAAACAGAGATAACTATATATGTATATATATCCATTTAAATTTAATTGGAGTGCTGTGCATATAAGGCCTTTAGATGGCAGACTCTTTGGTAGTAACCTAAATGGAAATAGCAGGGTTTGAGTTCTTTGACATCTGATTCCAGCTGACATCTGATTCCAGCTGCAAACCAACACTAGCAATACCTACTGCCATCCTGCGAGTGAAGAACTGGCTCTTCCCTCATTGGTTCACAATGTCTCCAGCAGCAACAGGCCAGCTCCCGACTCTGAGTCCAGATGGAAAAAAGCACTGCTGATGGACTCTCCTTCATCAGGAGCACCTGGGGCTTGATGTTTGAAGCCTGGGCCCCAGGTCTCTCTCATATTTCTGTTTTGCTGGATCTTAGCACATGTGTGAGATTAAATTCTAGAATCACAAGTGCTCCACAAGCTTTCTTTTCCAAAGTCTCTGGCCAGCACTTAGGAGTGACCAGGCCTTTATGCCTGTGGGTCATGGGTGTGTATACAAACACCAGGAGTGAAGTTATTCTCGGTTGACTTTTCTTCAGTGGAGCATGTACACACTTGTCCCGTGTGTGTGTGTGTGTGTGTGTGTGTGTGTGTGTGTATGTAAATTTAGAGTCCAGGAACAACAGGAGGTGACTTGGTCACAGCTGTTTGGCTATAGCCATTATCTGTCCAGACTTTTATGAAGGAAATGGGCTGTGTGATGTTTCTGTATATTTTGTTTAGTTTTGCTCAACCTATAAAATGTGTAGTTATTTTTTCTTTCTTTCCCATCTTTCTTCTTCAAAAGTTTAGCTTCTATCAAACAAAATAAGACACAAAAACATTTGGTAGAGTATTATGCAAATGTTAGTTATCTAATAATGGTGCTACAGTTATTTATTATTATTAGAGTCATTAGTCAGCACAGCATTTTACTGGCCTCTACTATGGGGACTTACCTTGATGATGCGCAGGTCTGATATCATGGGGACGCCCCTTAGCAATACATTCTGCCAAGGCTCAGGTAATTCAAACATATAAGCAACTGGTGCACTGTGGATGCTGACCAATCAGAATAGACACTGACCAGTATAACACACTGGTAAATGTGGCTGAATAATAGCCTTTTCAGTGATGAAGTCTCCACCGAGGTCAACCAAACTAGAAGTTTAGCTCATTTTATAGATAACTTTTGCACCATATCTAACTCACAAAGTCTTCCAGGTCAGATACTTTCTGAGTGATCTAGTCAAGTTCTTAACATGGAATTCATGGGCCCAGAGGAGTTTGTGGATTTATTCTCATGGTCTTTGAGTCTTCCACCTTCACTTTTAAATGTAATTCCTTTTGGGTATCATCTTACAAGTCAGTAGAACTGCATCCTGGCTTTTCTGTTATGACCACTTTACACTTGAGCTCTGCCAGTCTCTGTGCTCACACCCTGGTATCCACAGAAAGTGATGAACTTTTAAAAAAGTTAAATGGGATGACATTGGTTGATAATATTACATAGATTTCATGTGAACATTTCTGTGACACATGATCTGTATATTGCTTTGTGTGCCCGTATGTTGAACTTCTTAATGTAGCATGGATGAGGGCCTATGGCTGAGGGTCTTCGAATTTGTTGTCAGGTGCTGGTGGTTAATTTATTTGAAACCTGCTCCAACCCATCCTCTCACCTGTGACAGGGCTGCAACTCTTCCATTATCCTCCACCTCTGCCCGACTCTTCCAGCACAAAGGGAACTCAAACCACGTGCAGTCTTGGATTTGGGAGCTTAATAAAACCCCAGAGACTCTGTGGTCCAGCCTTCAGAGTGTTAAGTGACTTGCTGAATTCTCGCAGCTGTTAGTGTAGGATTTGCAGTCCTGTGTATCTACTGCTTTGCAAACTGCCTCCTGGTTTCATGTTTGGACAGCTTTCATAGTTCTTCTCTCTGCTGGGTTTGAATCCACCTCCTTAGAATGTGCTTAAAACCACTGGTTCTCATTCAAAACTCTTGAGCCGTATCAAACAGGCGTAATTATCCTCTAGGAGGTATACAGGGCCCGGTAGAAATAAGGCCTGCTTGAGGGTGGTTGGTAGGGTAATAATAATATGGGTGTAATGATTTATAGTTTTAATTTGAACATTTCCCCTAACACATGGTATGGTGTGCTTGAGTGTGATATTGTTATATTACAGAAGAATTATATGCTTTTGATTTTGTGATAAAAGATTTTGTAATAAAAAATGGGTATTATTTGTGCCAGACCCTGTATATTGTGAAAAGTTATTTAGCTTTCTTTCTGGGAGAGTATGAGTTGTCAAAGTCTGTAGTTTTGTTTCAAGGTTGTGTTAAGAATATAGTGACACATTTGTAACTTAGAACAGGAACTAAATTTTTTGCAAATGAGACCTCTTTTTAAATAGTACTAGGGGAAATTTCCTGTTTAGAGGAAGATTCATTTGTCAATACAAACAATCATTTCTTAATATAACTTTGCATATATGATTTATTAAAAGAGTTTTTCTATTAAAATTTTAAAATTGTATTCTGAATTTTTTAACTTATTTTGAACAGGTAATATCTTTACATTGTTCAAACATAAGAAAATATAAAAAGGTGCCCAAGAAAAGCCTCACCTCCAGTTCTGTCTACTGTATGCCCAGTCCTCCTGCCTCCTCATCTCGTAAATAATGTATAGGTTTCTTAATGCAAGTACGACAAATACACATATGTATTATTTTAAAACAGAATTTGCTTGAAGCAGAGTGCCTATACTGTGAAACTCACATTTCTCACTTGGTCTCATTTTAAGTGATTCTATACAAGATGCCTTCCTCCAGGACCCTGCCTCCACAGTCTCCAGTGCCTGCCCCACCCAGGGCTTCTATTGGTCCATTAACCCTATCTGCAGTCTTTCCCGTGTCAATACCACCTTCCCTCCCTCCCTGCATCCCTCCTTTCCTCTTTATCCAGCTACAGTCCATGTGTTATTAAATTCCCTTGCACCACCCTAAACACCCTTGCCTTTCCCTCGTTCCTACTCACGGGCAGAATCCAAACTCTGGTTAATGTCATGTGTCCGCTAACACCACATTTGTTCCCGAAGTCCTGGCTGTGGCTACTGTGAAAACACACTGTTCCAGATGGGTCTCGTTTGAAACCGATGACTACAAACCTCAAACAGGCTTTCGTTGGTTCCTGGCAGTCCTGTGGTACTTTCCCTAGTTGTATCACTCTTCTGTTCTCTTGGACTTCTTCAGCCTCTTTTGTTTCCTCAGACCCCTATCTTCCTCCACTCTCCTCACTTTCATTGGATGGTCCCACTCACTCACTAAGGGAAGCAATCAGAAGAGACTTCCATCTTCCATCACCAAATCTCCTGCTCCACCTGCACTTAACCGTTATTTGCTGCTTTCTCTCCTGTCAGCAATGGGTGAGCAGTCTGTGCCACTCCCAAGAGTCCATGCCTCCTCCCGTGCAGAGACCATCCCATTCTGCTTACTCAAGGACAGCACCCCCGCAGCCCTCCTTCTCTCCTGCTGTATTAACTTCCCCTTCTCCCTCAGATCTCCCCCTAAGCATACAAAATATGCTGTGATCCCCCCTTCCTTCAAAACCAAACCAAACCAAACCAAAACAAAACCCCCCAAATGCCCATCTTCAGTCAAGTACTCAGAATCAGATCCTGAGAGGAGGATTCTTATGCAAGTGATTTGTTCAGGAATTGTTCTTTGGGTACAGGACAGGGAAGAGAAGGCAGGGGAGGCCACCCATGTCATCCCAGCCTGGCCTGGCAGGAGTGCTCAGGAGAGAACATTATGCTCAGAGTTCCATTCCACGGGAGGCAGGAGACTGGGTGCCCATTCTCCCTCACCCCTCCACCCTCGGCTAAGAGCTGCCTCAGGTCAGGGAACTCCCGGTGGTGGTCCGAGGGCAGTCCCTAACACAGTCCCCTCACACAAACCCCTATCAGCTGGCAGGGGGAGGGGCGGTGCAAGGGGGATATAGAAGGATTGGAAGAGATCTGCTGGGAGCACCAACAGCACCCCTACACTCCTCCTGACCCCCATCTCACCTTCCCACTTGTTACCCATCCTCAGGCCTGTCCCACATGCACAGGGCCTGGGGCTGCAGTAAACTCGGAAGTCCATGAATGATGCGTACAAATATAAACACCCAATAAAACTCTTTGGGATGGCTTGAAAGGCCAGGTTAGAATTTATCATTTTTGTACTTGCGGAGTGTCTGCCCCTTCTGTTCCCACCCCCAGCTCCTTCCAGATCACCCGAAACCCTAATGTAGACAAAAGCACATGAAAAATGTACACCAGGTAAGATCAGTGTACCCTTGAGCTCAGAATGCTGTGGAATAATTTTCTATGACCCCAACCTAAACAGTTAGAGTTATTTCCAAAAATGCCACACCTTTTTCTTTAACAACCCACTATGGATCTGTCACTTGTGAATTAACTGAGTAAAAACACCCTTTCACCTCCTATTTCAAAATATCAAAAACAACACCAAAAAAATACAGAACATATATTCTACAATTGCATAGAATAACTAAAAATCCAGTTAAACATGGAAAAAATGAACCAATAATGAAAAGGAATATGCAAGAACAATAAACATGAAAACACAACTTATTTCCTTAGTAACTAGAGAATGGTGAAAACAAAGCCGCAGTGAGATGCTATTTACACTCACTGTACTGACAACACTTCCAACCCTGTCAGTAGGAGGCGCTGGTGCAGAGATGGAACAAAGAGCTGTCTGCCACGCTGCGTGGGGAAATGTCAATCAACACAACCACCTTAAAAGAACAATTGGCAGTAACTGTAATGTTGAAGACCTGCACACAGTATGATCCAGCCAGTCCACTTCTGGATCTGTGGCCTGAAATAAAGTTTTGCACATATGCCCGGAGACGTGGAGAATTTTCAGAGTGACATTGTCTGTAAGAAAAACAAAAAGCATAAGCAGCCTAATCAACCTAAATATAGAAGGTTAGATGAATTGTAGTCACACAGGGAGCACTACCGAATTGTGGAAGAAAGTGAACTAGAGTTATTAGAGTGAACCATATGAAATTACCCTTCCTCTATGTCAGAAAGACTCATATATTGGCAATTTCATATGGCTCAAATACATGTACCAGGACACATTGCTTCCTGGAACTGGATGGTGATGGATAGGAACATAGTGAATCTCCTCAATGCCACTGAAGTATTCTCTTTAATGTGGTTTAAATGGTAAGTAAAATAGAAAGTCTATGTAAAAAAAGAATCACAGTCTTGAGCAAATGAATAAATACAATGCGACACAATTTATACAATGTTAAAACACACACAGTATTCCTATATATTGCTTATAGATTCATACCTATATTGTCCAAATACGAAGAGATGTAGGTGGGTGATGAATGAAGAGCTTAGAGTAGGGGTTACCTGGGGTCGAGCTAGGGTTTGTGAAGTCGGGGAGAAGATTGTAATGGAAAGAGTCACGCAGGGGTTTCATGTTTTATTTCTTCAGCTGGCTGCTGAGTCTGTGGGTATTCTCTTCCTTCTAGAGTCTCATTGCTTGTCAACGGTGATTAACGTCATTTGGCCAACAGATGGGGTGATTTCTCAGCGTGTCAAACTGTTGAGTGATGGGCCAGGTAGGGGGTGTGGGTGGCTGTGTCCTCTTGGTGGGAACAGAGGACGTCCCTTCAATTCAGCACAGGTCTGTATTTCTGGAGGTGGTTATTTCTGTGGTGCTGGTATAATTAGCGTTGCCCAAATAAGGATTAGGAGCATCCACTCCCTTTTTTTGCCCAGGGCCATCCTTGTTACAAAGTAACTACCCTAGGAATCTGCCCGGTCATGCCTGTGAGCACCCCAAACTTGTACTGATAAGTTAGTGTAAGTCAGAGCTTCCAGTGCAGACTCAGCTTGCTTCACCGGGGACCCACCCCTCCCCTGATTCCTCCCCTTTGGCTGCGGACATTTCTTTATTCCCAGGTGCAGAAGCTCAATACGATATCGGATCATCCTACATTGCTGCTTGTTTCATCACTTGAAAGAGTCTCCTCCTCCCCCCCTGCACACTCCTGCCTTCCTGAATCCCCAGCTCTGGCCAGTGAGCCAGTCTGGGCTAGCGGTGTCATGCTGCCGTCACATTAGCAACTCCAGCCCTTGGGTCTAGCCGCTTGCTGGTGCCGAAAATGGTGACTCCATGAGAGTGACAGGGAGGTGTTACTGCCCCGTTTTATAGATCAGAAAATCAAGACTCAGAGAAGATAAGTAATAAATAATTTCACACTGCTAGAAAGTGGGAAGGACCAAACTTGAACCTTATTTGCCATATCTCCATCCAAGTCCAGAGGTCTGTGCTTCCTGTTTGCATCTCGGTGCTCTTGTGAATGTACTTCCTGCGGGACAGTGGGGGCGGGGGTGGCTAGGGTCCCCAGGCCTGGTGGTGGAAGCTTGGCCTTTCCACTTGAGTTTTCACCCTAGTGGCAAGGACAAGCCAATTTTATCAACAATTTCAGATGCATGAGAAATGGGGTTGGCCAGATTAAAGACTGCGATAAAAATATTAAAGGAGGAAGCTCTGTTACTTACGAGAAAAGTGACTCATTCTGCCAGGAATCGAAAGCACAGCCTTCCATAGAAGACTTGGGTGGCTTTGAGCTCCTCAGGCCCTTGACGTTGATGCTTTAGGTTTGGAATGTTTTCATGTGGCAAACTCTTCAACCAGACCCTCCCCACAACCTTTTTTTGTTCTTTGTGTTTAGTAAGGGGGTTATAGTTTCTGGAAAGGAAAATGAAAGTAATTCAGCGGCAGGAGGAGAACACACGCAGGGACACCAGACGCACTCTGCCACCTCCCTTCCCAGGTCCGCCCTTGCTCCTTGCTCAGACGCGTCACCCGCTCATGGGCAGGCGGGCGGTGTTTAACAGTCCCTTCCAGAGGCTGGCTTCTCCCTGCACCTCGCAGCCGCGCTACCGGAGATTCCCAGGGCCCTGACGCAAGAAGTAAACCTGGTCCCTTTCCAGCCCCACTGTTAGAATTCTGAACTTATCACACTTTTACCATCTTATGGTTCACACTTTTTGTTTTTTATCTTTAATTTTTCAATTGTAGTTTACATTCAGTATTAGTCTATGTTAGTTTCAGACGTGCATCATAGTGGTTAAAAAAAAAATCATGTACTTTACAAAGTGGTCCCCCCAATGTTTCAAGTACCCACCTGGCCCCACATATAATTGTCGTGATATTATTGGCTATATTCCCTATGCTGTAATCTACATCTCTGTGTTCATACTTTTGTTTCATATATATATGAATATGTTTCATATATATTCATATATATAAATATATATGTTTCATATATAAATATATATACATATATATGTGTGTGTCTTCCTCATATCATTGTAAACATCTTTTAAAAATTTCTATTTTATTTGGAAATATAACACAAGTAGGTGGTAAAAAATTAAAATAGTACAAAAGGATACACAGGGAAGAGTAAATTTCACACCTACTCCTATCCC